GTGCTCTTCCACACCCAGCTGCAACATCTCATGACCCACATTCTGGGATTACAGGGGTGCACCTCCACACCCAGCTGCAATATCTCATGTGGTCCCAAGCCTGTTTCCTAGAAATAGTCACAATTTATGAAACCAAGAGTTTTTCCAGGTGCAAATTATTGTTTACTTTTTAATATGTAAGTGTTTCAAATGCATATGCATGTCAATAAAAAATTTAAAAGATCAATCCTAATAACACAGTCAGTGTTTAAACTTAGAGAAAAGGGAGAAGACAGAGCAGCGTTAAACAAAATATTCTGTAAGTTTTAGCAGTTTTGCATGCTTAGCTTGTAAGTCAAATTTAAAAATGTGCATAAAATTCACACAAAACTGTGATTGCTACTTGCTCCTTTCCTTATTATCACTACTGCTCACTTACAGGACATTGCTATGTTTTTTACAATTAGAAAACTAAAGATTCAGTAAATATTCAATCACTAGAATATATCATCCCAGGGTTACAAAGAACATCTCTGAATTCCTTGTACTTTATTTACAAGAAATCATCTCCATGAGTCATTAAGAGCAAAAGACCTTGTTCAGAGTCCTAGATAGTGAACTTTTCAGATTATGGTACCTTATTGCTTAAAACGAAGGCCTCCAGCTAATTTTCATTTATTCAAAATTTATATATCAAGCCAATAGATGATGATTGGTCCTGAGCTTCTTTTTCCCTCAAGTATCTTTGGATAGTTTGTGCTATTTAGTGTTACTTCTGTCATATTCTGAGAAGACAGGAAGTGCAAGCCTAGATTCTGATCCTATTAGTGACTTTGGTGAAAAATTTGAAGCTGAAAATTTTGGGTGTTCTAGAATCAAGTAAACCACCTGGAAAGGAAAAGTCAGATGAGTGTGTTGATGCTTCTAAATCTCAGTAGTTGTCCTGCTCCTGGGTTCTTCGTGGTGCACTTCTTTGCTTTCATTTAAAATGCACAGGGGACCTGATCAGTTCTTAGACCACTTGAAAGAAGAAAATGAAAGAGAAATTATGAACAGAAATAACACAACCCATATGGGGAAAGAGCTGCAGACAAAAATCAAAGCTCTCCTATCCATGCCCATTTGTTAAATTTCTCAACTGTACTCCTCAGCCTGTACCTTCAGTTCTATTTTCAGTTTCTCTCTTTTAAAACTTTCTGTCTCTTTGTGATAAAAAAAAAAAGGATTTAGGCTATCTTAAATGTCAGCATAGAACCTGCATCCAGCAACTGATGGAAGAAGATGTGATGTGGGAGTGTCTTCTATCTGTTGCTTTCATTGGTTAATTAATAAAGAAACTGCTTGGCCTTTGATAGGCCAGCCCTTAGGTGGGTAGAGTAGACAGAACAGAATTCTGGGAGAAAGAAAGCCGAGTCAATCAGTCGCCATGATTCTCCCACCGGACACAGACACAGGTTAAGATCTTTCCTGGTAAGCCACATCTCGTGGGGCTACACAGATTATTAAAAATGGGTTAATCGAGATGTGAGAGTTAGCCAATAAGAGGCTGGAACTAATGGGCCAGCTAGTGTTCAAAAGAATACAGTTTCTGTGTAATTATTTCGCGTAAAGCTAGCCGGGTGGTGGGAAGTGGCCCGCTGCTCCTCACAACACAGATGCAGAGATCCACAGTGGAGCACTGGGCTGAACTCCCAAAGTCCAGTAAGAAGAGAAAAAGGAGCAATAATATAACCAAAGGGGTCAAAACCATGATGGGAACACCTACTGAAACAGCTTACCTGAGCTAATGGGAGCTCACCATTCTGGCTTGACATCAGGGAAACCAGCATAGGACCAAATTAGACCCTCTGAATGCAGATGATAGTTTTGTTTCTGGGGCAAACTGTGGGGACACTAACAGTGAGAATAGGAATTATCCCTACTGCTCATACTGGCTTTTTGAAACCCATTCTCTTTGGAGAGATAACTTGCTCAGCCTAAATATAGTGGGGAGGGCTTGGTACTGCCTCAAAACAATGTGCTAGACTTTTTTTGACTTCCCAAGGGAAGCCTTACCCTCTCTGAGGAGTGAATGGGGGGTGGGATTGGAGGGAGGGTAAAGGGAATGAGAGGAGAGGAGGGTGTGGGAACTGGGATTGGTATATAAAGTGAGAAACTGAAGTTTTTCTTTAAAAAATTAATTAATTTAAAAATGTTCTAGGATCTTATAATCTAAACTAGTCAAATTTTCATAACCTATGATAATATTTATGTTATTACTGTGAAATGGTACACTAGGTTGGTTCTATCAGGTTGACACAACTACCTGTAGGAAGTGGAACTTTCAACTGAAGAATTACCTCCATCAGACTGGCCTGCAGGGTATGTCTGTGATGTGGGATTCTTCTCTGTATGCTGCAAATGCCACTGGTTAATAAAGAAACTGCATGGGCCTATGACAGGGCAGAATAGAGCTAGATGGGAAACTAAACTGAATGCTGGGAGGAAGGAGGCAGAGTCAGTAAGACACCATGTAACTGCAGAAGGGGACAGAAGCTGGAATGTTGCCAGTAGGCGATGACCTCATGGTGATGCACAGATTAGTAGAGATGGGTTGATTTAAAACATAAGAATGAGCTAGAAATACACATAAGCTAATAGGCCAAGTAGTGTTGTAATGAATATAGTTTCTGGTGATTATTTTGGGTTGGCCAGGAATGAACATGTAGCCTCCTACTACAGGTTGGCACCAATGTGGCCAACTTTATCCACATAAAAACTTGAGAAAGCTTGAAAAGGAGTTCTAGACAGAAAATAAACAGAGTTTAGCCCAGTTTCTTGGTAACCACATTTTTTTTTCCACCTGGATGGGCTTGCAGCTCCTTTAAGAGAGGAGCACTGAAAACTGCATTACTTCTTTAAAAACAGCAGTTTCCTGGTTTGCCAGCACAAATGACTCTGACTTTTTCAAGAGGTCCTGCTATGAAGCATTTAAGTGGGGCTTGTGAGCAGAGTGATACAACTTGCTTAATGGCAACACAGACCTGCTGTGTGCCTGAAAATGGGGATGTGAGCTTGGCTTGCACTAAACAGACCTCCACCATGTTGGACTGGGTAGGGCCCAAAAGCAAAGCAGCCATAGTCCTAGTAACACCACTTAGCATTTTAAGAAGCACTTCTGGACAGAAAAGGATTTCAGATGCACACTAGAACAGATTCAGACACAAAAGACTTCTAAACAAGACAAAGTGTGTTTAAAAATGTGTGTAGGCTTGGGAGAGAGAAGAAAAAGAGTAAAGAGACAGCAAATGAAATATAAAAGAGTAGAGACTGTCATAGATTAAAGGAATAAAGATAATATAATAAGCATTAAACTTAAAGAAATAGTAAGAGTAAGAAAAACAAGGCACATAAAGATGAAATATATACAAAGAGTCTGGATTATGTATATTATTGTGTTTTCTTTGAATATTTTGACTTCAAAGGAACTACAGAGAGACATTTCATTGTATGGATGGGCTGCTAAGCTAAACCAACAAATATACTTTAAAGGTGCCTTGACATAAAAGTTTGAGTCTAAGGATATGTTGCTTTGGAAAAGGGTTTCTACTTTTGTTTCCACAGAAGATGGGAAACTCTGGACTTCCTCCAGACTGATGTGGTTTGTTGGACCAAGACCCATGAACACCCCCCAAAACACTTTGCCCAACAAAAAGCAGGAAGGAGTTTGGAGAAAACTATGCCCGAATTCCCAAATATTGTTTATAAATGTTTTTTTTACATTTAAAAGGGGATATGCTATAGAGATGAATACTTTCATTGGTATAGAACTCGGTTTATTGATACAAATTTAAGGTCAATTTTGTTATATGTATATTCTGCTATTGATTAAGGTACTGTGTTTATGCAACTCATTTAAAAATGTAATGTATAATTTAGAAATATAGGTTAATAGATAATCATCTATAATAGTCAAGTTTGTAGACATGTTATTCAGGTTTTCTAGATATATGGAGATATATTTCAGTTAGATAGGTATACTTGAAGTCTTTCAGATACCTTCAGAATATGGAATTTAAAATGTTTTAATAACTTAGGACTTTTTATGACAATAAGAAACATCTGCTCCTGGCAGCCCCAGTAACTTCAAGAGGAAGATGGGCATCGAAGAGGCTCATTATGGAGCTTATTAGCCATTTGGGCAAGAAACTGCTCTTACCTGTACTGTTTGATGTTATGCTGTATGAACTGGACATGCAGGACCCACAGAATGGTGACTGCTGAACTTACCTAAAGGTGAGACTGTCCTTCAGGGTTCCTGCTTCATGGAAGAGTCTCCCAGCCCTTCTTCAGGACACAGAAAAAAGCAACTGATGAACTTTGCCAATACAAGGCATAAGAGATCTTCAAATTTCCTGTTTCATGGAAAAGTCTGCCAGATACTATGGGCTTGTAGGCTGAAAATGAGTGCCCCAATGTCACAAAAGTTTTGCATTTAAAGATTCATTCAATTATGTATGAAGACTTTAGTTTTTCCTTTGGGTCTTATAGTAGGTATTATGAAACATTAGCCCAATGAACATCCCTACTCTCACTACATTCCTTCAGTTGCTAAGCTGGACACAACAAGTCACTAAAGCTGAAGTTAGTATTTTGTTAGTGATCAAGAATAATGATGCCGAGAATAAAAGGTGGATGTAAAGTTGGAAATGTCAGTGGCTGTGCATCTCGTCAGCTTTCTAGCAAACAATTTTCTGAAAGTAACATCATAACAGAAATAATTTGGACTTGTAGTCAATTATGTACCACTTAGTTGTCAAAATACAATGATCTACAAGAGGCTAGACTCCTGGATTTCTCACAAATACCTCTCAGCACTACTGATGAAGGAGGCAAAGATTTCAAAGTGTTAGCTCACCACTCATATTCTGTCCCAAATGTGTGAGTTGGTTTCTCCTCAATACCTTAAATATGTTTCAAAATTCTTACGTGATATAATTAAAGGAGACAAAAACCCAAAATGCATGTGTAAGCTGAATCATTTTCCATTTACTTTAACACACTGGGGGTTGGCAAACAAGCTCACAGAACAAATATGGCCCATCATTTGTTTTTGTAAATAAAGTTTTATTAAAACACAGCCACAGTTAATCATTTACATATCATTATGGCTGCTCTCATTCCTACAAAAGCATTCACTGTCACATGGTTGTGGCAGGATACAGCCTACAATGCCATAAATACTTACTATCTGGCTCTTTACAGTAATTTGCCAACCACATTAGTAACAATCTTATCACTATAGACACCATAAACTTGTTTTTTATCAGTACTTCTACAGACAGGAAATACAGTTCATTCACTGAAATCTTAAAAACTATCTTGAAATCCAATATTTGTGTCTCATCAGATTTCTTGCCCAGGAATTAATCCCACTTCAGAAAATAGACATACACATTCAAAAGTGTTCTTTTATTATTTCTAGTTAACATATATTGTATAAATACTCTATTTTATATGCACTTTTACAAAAGCGATATAACTTAAAGGTTTTATCATTAGAAATAAATGTATAAAAATAAATATGTTATAAGCATTTATTATAAACTATAGTCCTTCTTAGAAGGAACAAACAAACCAATACTTATAAAGTACATAAAATTCATAGTAATGTATTTTACTATATACATATGGAAACAGTCATATTCTCTCTCAGTAGAAGAGCTGAACAGACATTCACCAGGATACGACTGTTGGACCAGCTGCCAGGAGTGGACCTGCTACCCCGCAGCAGCCTCCCATGTAAGACAAGTGATCTCCATGTTCCCAATCTCATGGGACGGTTTTCTATACCCCATTCTTACTCTGGCATGACATGTGTGATATCACTGCCTTTTGTGAGACATGGATTATCTTTAACATTCACAGTCCCCAGGTAGGCTGACCTCAGGAGAAAGCAAGGCAGGAGACAGGTTGCTCATTGTGTTTCCTTGAGTTTTTATGTGCACTTCACACAGTTTGCTATTTGTTTTTTCCTTTTAGAATTAATGGAGATTTTATAAATAGGTGAGTTGTTTCTACCTCAACATGAATTACAGTTTAAAAAAAAAAAACTGAGATGGTGTAAGAAGGAACGGTGAACCATTTTGCAGAGGTGGGCCTTTCTCTCAGGCTGAACAATCTAAACATTTCACTATTGATAGAAATGATGCATCAACATTCTCTGAAACCACAGCAGTCAGAAGCTTCAAATAACGATCTTGTTTGTATCCTTCTTCCTGCCCTCACTGCAAGTGATATAAAGTCAGTCATGTTTACAATACAATCTCACCTTTCTTCTGCTTTGCCTTTCCCTACCCCCATGATAGAAAGCATCTAATCAGCAACAGACAACAGGGCTTGCCAGACTGCGGCCGGAGTCTGACAACTGTGTCTGCAATCGATGTAACAAAAGAAATACCTAATGACGCTCTGGGGCTTCATCGTGCTACATATGGTCTCAGATGCTAATTGTCTCATTAACTAGCTCATCAAATTTTAACTGGCAGGATCGTGTCCTGATCTACCCACTTTGCTATGTGCCCACCCCCCACACACCTCATTGACAGGCCTCACTGGTTACTGGTTTGGGATCCCTCCAGCACTCTTGATCTCAGTGGATCAGCCCTCCCATGCTGCCTTGTTCTTAGAACTGTCTAACTGCACTGTGCCAATGTGCAGAAGTCAATGTAATGCTTTGGTTTCTTCAGAGGATCACAGCTCTCATTGGACAGCACTCCCCCATCATGGGACAGACACTTTAAGGTTCTCTTCTTATAGCCCTTCCCACAAGTTTTGGAACATGGTGACCAATCCCCCACCTGCCAGTGTGGGCAAGGCAACTCTGCACACGGTCTGGTACTTGCTGGCTTCACTTCCTTGGCACACTCGGAAGCAGGGCGCCCGTTAATGTCTCTGCATTCAACCACTCTTCTCTGCCAACCGGACCCACATGACTTGGAGCATTCCCCCCACTCTTCAATCACCCACTCTGAAAATGTGGGGATAGCATTGAATGATTCCCTCTTCTTCTTCACAAAGTAGGTGTATTTGATTTTGGGTCGGATAGCGTGGCCCACCATAAGAACCTGGATAGTTAGTGGTTCTTTGAGCGGACTGAAGCTGCGGATTCTTTCCAATGCTGCCGAGGAGCCACTGTATCTTAGGACAGTTCCTCTGTAGGTAAGGTCTTGCTCTAGTGTGGACAGAGTAAAGTTTCCATTCAGGATATACGTGCCATCTGCAGCTCTGATGGCTAGAAAGCTGCCATTGTTTCTGGACCCCCTTTGATTCCGGTGTTTCACTTCAATGTTGGTGGCTCCAGCAGGGATTGTGACAATGTCATGATACCCAGGACTGTGAACAAAGAAAATAGGTAGATGTCTCTCAATCACTGGTTAATCAGCCACATTGCTTAAAAATATAAAATTCTTTTTTTTTCCCTTTACTTTTTCTTTCTTTTTTGGGAAGCATTTTTGAGACAGGGTTTCTCTGGCTATTCTGTAACTTGCTTTGTAGACCAGGCAGGCCTGTGAGATCTGTCTGCCTCCTGAGTGCTGGGAGTAAAGGCATGCACTATCACACCCAGCAAAAATATGTAATTAATTTACATGTGACTTTTCCTACTATGTCTTTCAATCCCTGATTAAACAGTTGCTTTGCTTAAAAATATGCAATTGTTTTAAATATGATTTTAATTAGTCATACTTAACGGTAAATCAAAATTAGTATGTGATTTATTTCATATGTTCGTTAAATAGTTTTAGGTTTTGGAGATGAGAGTTCACTTGTAGCCCAGGCTATGTTAGAACTCACTATATAGTCCAGACTGGACTAGAACTCATAACAATCATCCTCCCAAACACTGGAATTATATGAAGTATTTGGTTTGTGTTTGTATGTGTTTATTTTTTGAGACAGGGTTTTATGTAACCCAAGCTGATCTCAGAACTTACTATATAGGCAAAGATGGCCTGAACATCTGACCCCCTTGTCCCCCCTCTCTCTACCTCACATATGTTGAGATTACAGGTACATGCCAATACGTCAGGTTTATGTAGTTCTGGGCACTGAACTCAGCCAATGTCTTGTGGATACTAGGCAGGCTCTCTACCAACTGAGTTATATCTTTATTCCTGAACTACGTGCATTGAAACTTACCTTGTACTAGTGACTGATCCTGATATCTTCTTGCACGTGGACCCATTGCCTCCACAAACACCACATTTATCGAACTTCTTTTTGGAGTCTATGATGCGATCACAACCAGCTTTTACACACTGTCCTTGCACACAGACAGAAGTAGAGTCTGGACTACAGGGAGTGCCATCGACGACCTGTGAAGACAGCATACACCGGGTGGTTAAATGTCTAACGCGAGGCAGGTGTGTGGTGGCAGCTGCGCGCACCCTCCTTTGTGCACTCTTCCCACGCTGCTATTCTCTCCCTCACGCACGATGCATTACCCTTCATTGTCTTTTTCAATAGCGACCCGTGAAGCTTATAAATGCCTTGATTACTTGTTTACTGGTCTCTCTCCCCTGCTGCTAAGGTCAATGGAAGTAGTGTTCACTGTCAGTTTGACTATTGCTCCATATTCAGTGTCTAGCATAATAGGCTGAGGTAGAAACTACTTCATAAATCACTTGCTAAAGATTTCGTCTGCAACTTGGACATATTTTCCCATCTCACAATGCTAAGGATCTATGATAACCTTAAGTAAATTTGATTTTCTGCTTCAGAGCAAGACTGATCCCCTTAGCAAAACGTCAAAAGAAATGGGAGTCTCTTTGTCCAAAGTACATGCTCCAACAATAAATTTTCAATGCTTAGACTCTCATCTTAATGAGTATGTTTGTACGTGAGGCTGCTGGGTACCCAGTAACCAGTACTTTGGACTAGTTTCTAATACTCCTGGATGCTGTGTTAATATATAATTTATCTAACCATGAACTGTTGTATGTGAAACCTAGTTATGCGGGGAGGTCTTTGAGTTTTCAAAGGGTTTTTCTTTGGATATAAAGAAACAATATTAAATACATGTAAGACACATGATTACTGGATCTAAGCTTCCTTTCCAACTGAGAGCAACACAAATCTCCAAACAAGGAGTTGTTCCTGCATTTAGAAGTATTCCAAAGTCAAAACTGAACGTGTAGGTTAATATGTAAAGAGAGCCCAAACATTTGCATGAAAAGGCAGCAAGCCAAGGCCTTTGGCTCCTTAGCAAAGATCCAAGTGTAAAAGTATCTACCTTGGGCTGTAAAACAAAGAAGTAGCCAATGCCTTTGGCTTGACAGATGAGCTTGCACCTGTCCTTTGGTGAGACGCCAGCATACTTGGGTGTCCATTCCACAGTGGGCTCGTTCCCAAAGGAAGCTTTTGAAAACTCATTGTGGGCTTCACATTGCTCCTCTCGGAAAGTTTTTCCTGAAAAGAGAATGGTACGATGGGTGTTACCAGTTTCCACCGTTTCTCCATTCCACCGTTTCTCCATAGCCCCGTTTCTGAGCGCTGAAGGGCAGTGTGACTCACCACTGTTGTCCGGACAGTCCTCGACGTTGCAGGACCTGTAGCGTACTCGTTTGCCTTCACAGTACTTCCCTCCGTTTTTGGGCACTGGGTTGTCACATTCTCTCATTGTATACTGAACTCCTCCACCGCAGGTCCTCGAACACTCTCCCCAGGGCCCCCACGTCCCCCAGCTTCCATGAACAGGAGTCTAAGTGGAGATATGAATATCACTGTTAGAACTCTTAGGAGACATTTTAGGGAATCAGAGAAAATGTAAAACAGAGAATCAATTCTCAAACTACACTATCATCTCCTCTCTCCACTATGGGACATAGACGCAGGAGCTTGTCTGCGTAAGAACCTTAAATATCACTTTGTTCTTTCCAGTTCTGAGTTGTAAATAAACAGGATTCATTAGACAAACTCACAGCAAAATGCTTCAAGTCGGTCTTGTTCACACATTTGCCACTGACACACCATTTCCCTTCTCCACAGCTGGTGCCATCTGCCCAAGGGAAGTGCTTCGTTTGGCACACCAGTAAGCCACCAGAGGTACCAGTGCACCATAGGGTAGAACACGTGCTGGCTGCATCGGGACAGTGTTTGGATTCCTCTCCAAATGTAAACTGACACTGACGGTTGGCGTCATATAAGGTACCAGGGAGATCAGATGGGAGCTTGATGGGGTTCTGGGGCTTGTCCATCAAACATTCCCCTGGGGGAAGAAAAGGCAATTAATTATTAAAACATAGCTGGTGAAAACATGCAAAATGGTCTGATTGTGGTGTTACAAGATGTTTGCTATGTGAAACAATACACAGCATTTTATGTGATGGTAGCATTTTAGGAAAACCAATGCCAGGGAGATGTTGATTTTTATTAAGACATTGTCCTCAAGGGCGTACTTCTGGATTAACAGTTGCAAGAAATTATTCTGTTCAAAATATGCATAAATAGATTTTGGGAACAGGAAGCACAGAGGATAAAGATCTACAACTTAAGCTCTTGACAGAGAAAGTGATTCTGAAAGGGGGGAAAGTGAATTGAGCAAGAACAATGTAGCCAGTTTAACTGGAACCCTACACAAGAGGGTTGGATACCGCCTAGAGAGAGTAGCTGGCATCTTACCGTGGCCGTTATCCAGGAATGATGTGACCATGTAGGCACTGCAGGGAGACCACGGCTGGCTATGGTCCAAGCTGGAAAGCATGGAGGCCATCAGGTGAGAATCCCCGCTCACACCATTAAGGCTGGCACAGTGCTTGGCATCATCATGTGGCATGTTAAACACATGGCCTGGAAAGCAAAAAAAGACCCATAATAAAATATGAACATAAGCCTGGCCCTTCTTTTGTAAGGGACTCAATTCTACAGGAAGGAACATAAACTGTTTCAGGGATATTATCTACTTTGATCAGGGTATATAGAAAAATGTCAATTTTCAAATGTTCAGAGTGCTTTTTCTTGTTCTAATAAGACCATATCTAAAATAGTGGAAAATATGATCTACCATTTCTACGACTGCTGGTGGTCAAAGTAGCAATATAGTCTGGGATATTTTCCTTTCTCTCAAATCAGACTGTCTTATTGGGTTGAATCTATGCACTGGCCTCAGCCTGTACTCTGAATCTGACTTACCCAATTCATGGGCTGTGGTGAAGGCAGCTTGCAAACCATCATCTTCTATGACTGAACAGCTTCTGCTGGGGTCGCACACAGTTCCAACGTCAGCCATCCCCAGAGTATCACATGTGTGGGAGCCACATAAATCCTACAAAGAACCAAGGGAAATTCCTTTTAAGGAGGACAGTGTGAACTTGAGACTTAGCTCTTATGCCGGACAAGTCTTTACATGTGCTTTGGAACTTGTCCGTTCATTACTGTTGGGGCCCCGAAAGACTACATGCCACTTTAAGCAAGATTTTCTCTACTACTTTTAAAATAGGACTGTGCCAGTTAAGATGTTGAAATTAAAATAGAAGTAAGCAAAATAGATTAAGCTAGCCTGTTAAGCAAAGTCAACGAGGCAGTATAGATGAGATGGCTTTTTCATCCCTCCTTATGCCACAAGCTGATACAATGACAGCATCTTGCCTCACCTGCCTGGTGAACAGAATGGCTGTGTCATAGTGCTCTGCATCCCGGTCACTGGGAGGGTTGTGTTGCTTCTGCCAGCTGCAGAAGTTCCGCAGGGTGAGAGCAGCATTGGAGGTAACCTCTGGTCCCTTCTGCTCTTCGTATATAACTAAGATCTTGACCACCACCAGGCTAATTGAATTCCTAATGCTGGGGTGCTTGTAAAACCTGGCTGCCACGGAGAACAAGGTCAGAAGGTAATGCTTTAGGCCGCTGCCATGGAAGTCAGCCATGGACTGGTCCGCCACGAGCATGGTTTCCACATAACGGGGGCTGGACACAAATCGCTTTTTTCTTATGTTTCCAGGTCCTGTGAAGAGAAAAGACAGTTTACTTATTGGCAGTCTCTCTCAGAATAGTGACCTTCCTGGAGTATATTAGGAAAGCTAACCATGTCAAAGTAAATAAAACTGAAATATACCTGGAATAACAATAAAACAAATATTTGTGCCTTCTAAAAACTGTGAATGTTATTTTTAAAAGATTTTTGTCTTGCTTTAAATAAAACAAAAAACCAACACGGGATTCTTAGAGTCATCAAACTGTCTGTGTATGTGTCTGCAGGGTTTCTTTCGTGGTCTGTGGAAATCCACAGCCCAAGCAAGGCCGTATGGATATCGTCCTACCGAGCTGTAGTAAAAACTTGGCAAGGGCAGGGCACAGCGCCCTGAGTCACCCTTTCACTATTGAAGCCAGGGCTGAAATCCTGAATGAGATCATCCTGCTCCACGTGGAAGGCACAGGACAGGGAGGGGGGCGGAGTGGGAGGTGGGGAGGGGTTTTGCCAAGGGGCGGGGCTTGAGGAATCTCAGTCTGCAAGACTTAGCTCTCTCATTCAAGGGGTCCCTGGGGGTTCTCTGCTCTATCCAGTTCCGGGCACTAGGACCACCCACTCTGCCCAGCAGTCTATTTCTGCCCCCACCCCCACTCCCATTGTCCCGGGAGAAATAAGTTCCTGTCTCAAACCAAGGTCGCCTGTTTGGAAAACGGCCCTTCTCTGGCAGCTGACCGAGATTCAACGGTCAGAGAAGTCGTAAAATAGGCTATGACCCATCATTACCTGCTCCCCGGAGCAGAATGATAAGGGCAGGATACTTAAGGAAGTGAAAGAGAACAAGAAAGCTGAGTGACCAAATAAACTAACTCGTTAGCAAGTACTGAACACGCCAGAGGTAGGAGGAAGTGTAGCAGGGAGATTCGCGGCGGGTTACATTCCACCGCGACGGGGAGCTGAACCTCGGCGGGGAGAGGGAGCGCAAGACCCGAGGCAGAAGTAGGAGGCGCGCGGAGGCGGGGCGAGCTGGGCAAGGACCTCCCAGGCAGGTTCTACTGAGGGACCCCGCGCTGCCGGCCATCCGGGTCAGCCTTTCAGATGGGGGAAGGGGACAGAACTGAGATCGCTGCGCCGTTGCCTAGGCTCCTGAACACACAGCGAGGTCACCATCGCTCCTCTGCTCCGCCCTCCTCTGAACGCTGAGCGCACACACTTAGGTTACAAAACTCAGGGAGAAACTACAACTCAGCCTAAGTGAGCTCATACATTCACTACAGGAATTAAAGGGTTGGGAATGGATTCTCGAGTTTAAGGAATCGGGTTACAAACTCCCCGGTGGAAACGCTTAGCCCTTATCGGCAGGGATTCCGAGTCTTCTCCCTTTTCTTAAATTATTAACTATTCGGGCAAATACTTGTTCTAGCAGGGTTTGGTCACCCATTTTGGGGGCGGGGGTCACGACCCTGAACCACTGCTGGTCTGAGTCCTTCAGGTCCAGAGAAGAACTAAAGTATGCCCTCAAGTCACGTCTCGTAGAGAACGGAGGTGGATAGAGATTTAAGTGTGTGTGGGGCGGGGGAAGGGGGTGCGTTCTTCTACCTGTTGGCTTTCCCGTCCCTTGCTGCGTGGGGTCCCGCAGTGGCCGCTGATTCCGGGGGTCTCGACTTTCCGGGTGCGAGTCGCCGGTTGGCAGGGTCTCGTCGTCCATGACACCGCACTTGGCTCCGCCGCTGCCCCTCCGCCTTCTCCTGAGGATGTGGAATTGCGGCGGTGCCGGCGACTCCTCCTCCGGTACGGCGGGGACCAGACGCTCGGTGGCGACCTCAGGCGCTGGCTGGATGAAGAACTCCTCGCCCTGCAGGTAGAAGGCACCACGCACGCCTTCACAGAGGCTGAGGGCGGCGGCGGAGCTGGGGTCACCATTCACTGTGCCGGAGTAGAAGCAGTGCGCCAGGTCCCCGGTGGGGTCCAGATGCTGTGCCTCGGACCCGGGACTGCGCCCCACCGTCTGGAGGGTGAAGCCAGGAGCCAAGAAACCGCTGTCCGGCTGCAGCTTCAGGTGCAGTTGCTGGCCAAAGGCCTCCAGACGGAGGCGCGTGGTGGAATCGTGGCCGGGGTCGCGCTCCAGCGAAGGAAGCACCAGCTCCTCGTACTCCTCCGCGGGTCGCCCTTGTGCGCCCTGCACACACAGCAGCATTGCTACGGAAGCGAGCAGCAAGAATAGAGTGGGTGAAGGCAGAGAGGCCCGAGACTTAGCTGCCTGCTGGACGTGCCCCATGTCGGAGCAGAGCCTCTGCTTGCGTGACCCCAAAAGGACTGCTGGCTGCATGACACCGCACACTGCAGCTCAGCGAACCCTTGTTCTGGTTAGGCGCTCAGAGCTTCGCTGACCTCCGGATGCTTAAAATTCACGATCACTTTGATTTGAAAGTTCGAGTAGAGCTGGCAGCCAAAGCTCCGGGTCTCTTAGAAAGAGGCGCTTCGGCTCGGCCGGCGCGCGGGAACTTTTTATTCCAGCACCGAGTTGGAGGCACCAACAAGGCTGCAGCTGCCAAGAGGCTGCTGTAGGATCGAGAAGCGCTCCGGGGCTGGGGACCAAGTCCAGGAAAGAAGCCTGGACTCTTCTCCCTCAGCCTTGGCCGCAGTGTGCCTGGATCTGAGCAGGGATCTGCTCTCTCCGCCGTGCTGTGCGCTCTGGCCTTGCAATAGCACCTGGCTCTGAGCTGCTTTCCAGGGAGTGCAAGATCTAGGCAGCCCAGGCAGCCCCTTTATAGCCAGCCACTTAAGAACTCCTCCCTCTCTCCCCCATCCCTACGACACCGCCCCCTGATCTCAGTTGGTGCTAAACCACGCTCTACGCCGCGGGCCCGAAGGGGGTGGGGGCAGCCTCCGCGCTGGCCTCACGCCACCGCTCGTCACTCTGGGGGTGTAAGACGCCGTAACAGCGCAATGACCAGCACTTTGTACAGCCCTGGCTGCTCTGGGGAGAAGGGTGAACTTTTAAGTTCATCTCTTGGCTACAGATTCCCGGACCACCCTGTTTCCTGCCACCCTTCCTGTGCCCGGGGTGGGCTAAAGTTTCCAAGAGAGGGGTTCGAATGGGAGAGATCCTTCATCAAGATTCCCCCGCGCCTTGGCTACCTCTCAACTTTCCCTCTCCCCCTCTACTCAGAGCGCATTCTCCCCTAAAGTGGGATGTGAGCTAAAGCTGCGTTTTAAAAAGTACCCCACTTCTCCGTCTCTCTCCTACCCTTTCACAAGTACCTCAACTTACAGAGTCCTCTCCTTTTACCCCAGCTCTTCTTGGGCTCTGCGCTTCTCAGGAAGAATGTTTGAGTGAGGGAGCCACGGAACACTGTAAAGACTCCGGATTTTAAAAAATCCACGTGGAATGGATTTTTTAAATCCATTAACTTAACTTAACTAGTTTCCTCAAACCTTAGAGACGTCTGGGTGAGGTTGAGGGTGGGTGGGTGGGGGGGTACCCTGGTTCTTCTTTCCTGAATAGGAGAGCTGGAGCCAGCTTCAGTTCCCTAGAGACTAAGCAGGGACTTGGGCTTTCTCTTCTTCATTGGAGAAGTAACTCCCGCCCAGTCCGCGTACTTCCAAAATCTAAGAGCAGCTGCTGCAGGCCGCAGGCCAGGGGGACAGATGCGTCTAAGAGCCCCACTTTACTCAGAGGGCCAAAACGAGGGGGGAGGGGAGGAGGAAATCGGGTTCCTCCTACCGGGAAGGGAAAGGCTGCATCCGCGTTACGAAAGTGACAAATGCTGAGCCCTTCCAACTCCTGGCCCCTAAGAAACAGCTTAGAGGCTCCAACACTAAAAAGAAGGAGGGGCTCCGTGACCCAGAGGAAGGAAATGGTTCACAATGCTCTCACTGGCGGAAAGGCACTAAGACAATGTAGAGACCGACAGTCCAACTCCCGAGGCCGACTGGCGCGCTCACACTGGCGTGCTCCGGCTCCCTGCCCTTCCCAGTTCTGAGCTCCTGACTTGCTGCCCCACCCCCATCCGTTGCTCCAACCGCTTCTAGTTGATCACGTCCCCTTTGCTCCTCCCCCAGATCTTCCAAACTCCGTGGGCCTCAGACAGTTCCTTGGAGGCCTCCAAGGCGTCCTTGTCCTTTATCCAAAAATTTCTTCCAGGATACTTTCCAATGTCTTTTCTCCCAGGGTTCTAGATAGCCTACATGAAAAACATAAACAAAAACTTTGTTTCCCACTCCCGGGAAGATCAAATGAGAAAAATAAAAAGTGCCCCTGAGAAACCAGGCTACTTCACCCTCCTTCAAAGCGCTAAAATCACTTCTTGGTGCTTGTACCCACCGGAGGGGTCCTGTCTCAATCCTAATTTTGGTTTCTTAATGTCACACTCACAGCTGAACTAGGAACAACAGGCAGCCTTGAGCTTCCACCAGGAAATGTAGATGTTATCCATCTTCCTTTCTGCCTCTTTATCTCATTCTTCGGTTTTAACTGACGGCCACAGAGAGGAGTGTGCCGAGTCATTTGTGCGGTGTCTAGCCTAACTCTGTCTAAGAACCTGTTTTACAAGTGGGCTTTCCTGAAAGTGCCCAAGGTTTCCTGGTTGGCCCACTTTTTTTGGAGAGACATTTCCATTTTCTGTTAGGCTGTTTTGTTTTATCACTGCATTTTGTATGGCTTCCTTCCCTTCTGTTCTCTCTTGCTTGCTAGCAAGCAAGGACAGACACTTGTTAGAACAAATCCAAAGATGGCAGAGTCACCAGTGCATTTACAAACCCCTTCCTTGCTTAGAGAATGCAGAGAACAAAAGTTAGTGGGGGATGCAGACTGAAAGATACTTGAGGTGGCAGAGGCGCTGGGAGCTCCATTAGATCCTTAATGTATATGTGATGTCCATAAATTGAGGCAACAAGGAAAATTCACAAGACCATCAGAAAAATATGTAACTTTAAAGTCAATGTGTAATATATTTCTATCTATCTACTCTCCCACAGAAACTTTAGCTTTTAAAGTAGATGCAGGCTTGGCATTGAGCCCATTTCTATCTCGTGTGTGTTCTTATTGGAAGGTATTTTCATTTGGGAGGAAATTCTGAATCTCAAATGGGTTGCTTCAAATCCATTATAATTTTTTCATATTTCATGTTTTGTATCCAAATAGAGCTGGAAAAAAAAAAGCTCAGAGTTAGAGGGGAAAGGGTTGCCAGGAACATGGCTTTTATATTCTCTGTGCTTCTCTCCAGATTTCTGTTCTTTTGCATAATGGCTCCAATCTGTTGTGCACCTGTAGTTCTGGGAAATGATTCTTTTTTAATCGCTTCAACAGAGACATGGGTGTTGGAGTTGCCAATTACTAAACTGAAAAAGTGCACATTCACAAGAGTCTCGAACCCATTTAACATTTTAAGACCAGAACTCTTCGGATGTTTGTGGCTTTTGGAAGACAAGCATATAACACACACACACATTTTAAAAAGCAAATGTACACTGAAAGAAAATATCTAAATGAAGAAGCAAGGTCATAGGGGTTCTGTTTATTAATGGCTGGAGGGACAATGGTGAAACATGGAGTCCTTGTGGTAAGTGTCCTAGTGTGACTTGTGGAACAGCCTTGCTCCTGGGTATGGACACTCATGCGGAAGTCATGCTAACCCCTGTTCTTTGAGTTCCTCGTCTTCTTCCTGTTGAGTGTATTTCTTCCCACATGAGATTGTAGGAACACCAGTTTTACACAGTTGAATACATAGGTTTGTACTTTGCAGCGATGTCCTTAAACCATCCGTCTCAAACCGAAAAGTTTGACCTTCTAAAAAGAATGATTGTTCTTTATGGATAGACCGAGTCCCTGGAAAAACAAACAAGTATTTTAAAGATAACAGAAGAAGAATCAGAGTGTTCACTTCGGTCTGCACCTTCCATGTTGGCGTGTTTCAAGGATCCACACATTACAGACAGAATAATTCTCATGAAGTCTTTCTCAAAGAGAGCGCCACACAGGCAGCTGTGACTGAGGAAGTCTGGTTCTATGGGGGAGCCATTAGGACTGCTGGAGTGTAAATATTGTCTGGAGCAACAGCTAATGAGCCTATTTCCTAACCGTGGAAGGCTTTTGATTCACAGCTCATACCACACGCTTTGCCAATTAGGAACGGGAAAGCTGTTTGGCATTAGTCTCACTTTAGAGCACACACACACAGAAGTCAACATTGGGCAAATGATTTTTTTAAAATCCTGATTTTGAAATCAGAAAGAAAGCATCTATTTAAGCATGTTGTGAGTTTAATTAATATTAAACCTGAGAAAATACTAATTCTATGTGGACATTAGTTTTGTATAGACTCACAGACTTGTGCATTTGAAGATCTGAGGGCAGTACCTTTCTACTCTACTGTCTTAAAAACTATAGCAGAGATGAACCTTAAAAAGGTTAATTAACTTGCCCGAGATGATGTAGTATAACATTGGGATCTCAGAAATAAATTACTCTGGTCATACTTTTTAATCAAATATATTTTGATATTTTAATCTAAGTGTTTGGTAGGTAAGTATAAGAATTATGATTTATGTTTTTTATAAATTATTAATTTTTTATTATAAATAAGAAGTTTGAAGTAGTAGAAAGAGTTCCACCTTAAAAGTTTCACCACCTTTATGACCTCTTTCTTGGCCACAAGGTGGCGACAGTGTACAACAAATGGTTCTTGGTTTTCTTTACAAGTTAAGTCAGGAATTTGCAAAGGTTTTATGTCTTCGATTTTAGATAACCAATTTCTCTTACTGTTGTCAGGATCTGATAAACTAATTTAAAAATATTGCAATGTTAATTGTAGTCACATATTTCCAAGTCCCCAGCTAATTCTTAATCACGTGATTTAGTTAGCTTGATTAAAATATTAGTTATGCTTTTAAAAAATAAGAATTATCTTTGGCTTATTTTATTTGTCACAGTTGAGAGCTCTATGCAATTTAAATGAGAGAAGAAATCACGGGTTTGCAGTCAACTAGGACAGATTACGTCTCTGTTCACTCATTTACTATGCATGTTTTTTTCAGTGGACACTACTCCTTGAATCTTGGTACTGACTTTAATTGCTTTTCCAGGTTTACAGTATTTTCCTTGGCAACAACAAAAAAAGTTAAAAGTGAAAAAAAAAGAAAGATGGAAAAAAAAAAGTTGGGTGTAGAGTGGGGGCTGGGGTGAGGGAAACATTCATCCGCCAGGGGGCGACAAAAGACAAATTTTAAAATAGCTGTTAACCAGCCAGTTCTTCCTGCAGTGTGTTTCATTATAGAAATGTTAGTGACTACCCAATACCTTAAGATCTCAAAATCATATAAAGATGCTTTATTACTAAATATAAGCTACTAGTAGCAACAATTTCATTAGTTTGATAAATACTGGAATGAAAAGCAGGTAATGTCAGTCAGCAGGAGGCACACAAGACTTCAAAACAGAGCTTGAACTATCTTGCTGTAGCCTTTTCCTACACCAAGCCTGTGATTTGTGGACTAGCCAATAGAGAGCATCCCCAAGCCTCCATTCCAATGTTTAGCCAGAGGCTGGAAGTCCTGTCTCTGAATGTTTTGATGGTGAGTTTTGCTCCAGACGCCAAAAAATGCTTCACCTCAAGGCCCTGAAAGCCCAGCAGGACTTGTGACTTTGAGGTACTCCCTCCTCTGATAACTGGTAGCTAAGATGAGAACTGCTATGGCCTGAGATGATACACCAGGGCCTCGAACTGGCAGCTGCTCAGAGTCACTGTGCTGCACTTCCCATCTTTCCTACCCACAGCAAATTGTGTAT